ATTCAGTGACTGGGGTAATTGGGATGGGTGTGTCAGAGGCAGTGCGATTGGCACAGGACAGAGCAGTATTTAGGGCTGTTGTACATAGGGTCGCTATGAGTCGCAAGTGATGTGATGGTACTTAACAACAACAACATGTGGCTCATGTAAGTGGCTAAATGCTTAACTCACTAAAATGCCTAGGAAAGTAGAAGGTCAGCCGAAGAGAGGAAGACTCTCAGTGAGGTAGACCGACACACTGTGGGTTTACGCAGGCAGAGATCAGGAAGCCGGCCCAGGACAGAACAAAGTTTCTACCTATTGTTCTAGGGGTCTCTATGAGTCATAGTTGACTTGATGGCATCTAACAACAACCTTAACCGAAAGGTGGGTGGTTCGAAGCCACCTAGATGGAACTCAGAAGACAACCCTAGAAATCAACTTCTGAAAGTCACCTGGAGCTGTTCCACTCTGCACACAGGCGGTCACCATGTGGCAGAGTCAACGCAACAACAACAACCACACGGGCTGACCCAGGATGGCTTGATACAGCGGCTGCTGCAAGGTCTCAAACACAGCAGTGGTTGTGAGCGTGGTGCTTGACCAGTGTTTTCTTTCTGTTGCTCATGGGGTTACCAGGAGCCGCGTGGATGGTACCCTCCAACAATGAGCCTACTGACGCCAGCCTTGCCTCACGGTGGGCCACCTCAGACACATTACAAACACACGCTTCTTCGTATTTCAGTTGTGGAACATCTTGTCAATGGTTGTGGGTGTACGGACTCCTCCTGTTCCCTCTAACACACTAAGCTGCTAACCCAAAGCTTGGTGGTTCGCACACAATAGCTTCTCAGGAGAAAGGCATGGGCTTCTGTTTCCATAGTGACTACAGCCTTGGGAAGTCCAGTTCTACTCTTTCCTCTAAGGTCACTATGAGGCAGAACCAGTAGTAAGTTTAGTTTGAACTTGGTTCAGTCCCTTTTACACTCAGATGCATTGATGGCCATCAGGAGCTGTGTTTACATGGCTTTTCCAAGCTTACTGGGGAAAAAACAAAACATCAAAATACACCCTTTGAGCTGTGGTGTTGGAGAAGAGTACTGAATATCCCATGGACTGCCAAAAGAACAAATATGTCTTAGAGAAAGCACATCCAGAGGCCAGAACACATTTAGCAACAACTATATTCATAAAATAATTGCCTCTTCTGTAAATTCCTTCTTGTAGGCTTACCAACAATTTAATAAATATTTAAGGAACAATTTAAATAGCATGGGATTATTATGAGAGTGAAATAAAGCGAATTTTCTAAACTAAAAAAAAAAAATACACCCTTTAAGAACCATAAGAGATTTGAACTTTAAGAACTATAGGCACTCTGGTGGCCTAGTGGTGAGAAGCTGTACTGCAATCCCAAAGGCACAGGGTTTGAATCCACCAGCTGATTCACAGGAGAAATATGGGCAATCTTGTCCCCTGCTCTTAAACTACCTCTGAAAACCCATTGGAGGGTCAGCTATGAGTCAGTTCTGACTCGATGGTACACAACAACAAACAACAACAACAATAACAAGAGCTAGTTCTTCCCAAGTTCTCATAATGCTGACGAGATAGAATACGTCAGAGTAACTGCAGCTCAAGAGCTATCAAGCACTTTTCCCTGGACTTCGTCTCAAAGGTCCTGTGACCGTGGAAGTATTCTGGGCCACTGCGTTCCTTCCTGAACAAGCTGAGGACACAGTGACTATTTAGAATTTTTACGAGCCTCCTAAATCAAGCACCTGCAGAATGCATCACAAATCTCAATCTTCTAAATGGGACTGGGGACCCGGCCAGGCTCCCGTATCAGGACAGTGGCTCCTCAATTAGCCTAACTGGCCTTCCCAGAATGTCAGCTACCCATTCCCGGCAGCCGGGGGAGCACAACGGGGGAGAAATGCTTCCCCACATCTAAAGACTCCAACGAAGAAAGAACTCACTTTTGCTCAGTGCCTCTCCCCCCAAGTCCCCATTAAAAAAGGCTTTCATTCAATTAAGAGCAATCTTGATAATTCTAATGACAGCCACCAGTGCCCAGTCTGTGGACGTCTGCTCCAGATATTGAAGACACAGAAATAAAGGATTCTAAAAGCTTTCAGAGTTAATGAAAGCCTCACTGGCTCAGATAAAATTCTTTTAAAAAGTAAGTTTATAGTCTTGACTGGGGGGAAGTGGGTGGGTTTGGCGGACATGACTGAGTTGCTCTTTTTCTTCTATTGAACTCGGATCGCTAAGGAGATGAAGCTGAGTGCACAGGGCATGTCTGGTTGCTGTCTGTATCCATCGGGCTGAAGCCCCTTGAGACCCACAAGGCAGTGAACATGAACGTGGCCCAACACGTCCCTAGCCCTTAATTTCCTCATCCTGTGAACATGATGGAGTGTTGGCATTTGTCAGCACCCATTTGATGGTTGTTGTTGTGTACCACAGACCTGGAACTGACCCATAGCTGACCCTCTGGTGGGTTTTCAGAGGCAAAGTTTCAGTTGCAAAGGAGGAGATTGTCCATCCTACTCACGCAGAGCCGCCGGTGGCCTCAAACTGTGTGCCTTTGGGATGTCTTGTCACTAGCATGGTAGGTGGTTGACAGCTTTGGTTTTGGAAAAAAGGTCGCTGGAGGCATGACATCCCCCGAAACTGCAAATGGCTAATGCACTTGGATAATAACTGAAAGGCAGGCAGTTCAAGTCCACCAAGAAGTCTGTCTGAAGGAAGTTGTGACCATGCACTTATGAGAAATCAGCCTCTGAAAACCTTCTAACCCAGAAGTGGTCGCAAAGAGCTGGAACCGGCTGTGCGATTCCAAACGCAAACCAGTAACCACCGAGTTAACTTGACACCGAGGGACCTCATGTGTGTTGGGCAGAACTGCTCCAAGTAATCTTCAAACACAAACCAGTAACCGCCAAGTTAACTCTGACACCGAGGACGTCGTGTGTGCTGGGCAGAACTGCTCCTAGTAATCTTCAAGGCTTGGGCCTTTCAGACCCAAGGACCATCACACCCTCTTTCTGAGGCACTTCTCACTGTGTTTGAACTGACAACCTTTCGGTGAATGCTTACCTGTTTATTCACCACCCACCAAAAAATTTAAAAAGCAGAACAAAACCCCCAAACTCATTATAGAGTTCTGGTGGCTTAGTCAAAAGGAACTGTGCCGTCAATCCAAAAGGAACACGGCTAAATCCACTAGCTGTTTTGTGAGAGAAAGATGGGCAATCTCCTCCTATTTAGTCTGTTGTTGTTGTTATGTGCCATCGAGTCGCTTACTACTCATAGC